AAAATGGTGGGCTCTTGAACTCCGATAATCCTGGAGGCAAATTTAGGCTAATTTTTAGCTAGATGATCCGCACAGGAGTTGCTTTCCCTCCAAACGTGCATCAGCTGGCATTCCCAATCCTTCTTCATCCATTCTTGCGCCTTTCTGATCAGGTTGTGGTGAGGGCTATCCTTGGAGGCTTCTTTTGATAGTTGTATGCTCACTTTTGAGTTTGATTCAATTGTTAGTTTTCTTTCCCCTGTCTTCCATGCAAATTCCATCCCATAAATTAACGCCCACAGCTCTGTTTCAGTGTTGGTAGCTAAATCCAATGTTTGCTGAGAATCCTCCTGCCCAGCAGCCTTGGATTCCCAGCCGCAGCCCCGTCGACGTCATTAGTTTCTTCCAACCTGTTGGAGGCTCTACCTGTCCAATGTCACGCAGCACTTCCTTCTGGCAAACTTTCTTGTGGGGATGGCTTTAGCTCTTGTATGAACCTCTCGCTTCCTCCACAATCTTCTGTAGGTTGAGGCTATGTTTTCAGAACCGGACCGGGTATCGATTCGGTCAAATTCAGGGGTCAAGAGTCAAGGATCAATGGGTTCAATCGAATTCAATAGGAGTTGAACCAGATGACGTCATAATTAAAATTATTTAAAATTAAAATATTATATGTAAAATACCAAATAACATGTTAATATTAATAATGTATATTCATATATATTTCATGTTTCAAATATATTTAACAAGAAAATACAAAGAAATTAGAACAATCAAATAGCAATTTTTATTATTTAATGAGCATTAACAAGTTTAGAATTAAAATTATGGACTTAATTGAAAAATAACACCAAACTTTAAGAAAACATTGATAAAGTATGAAATATTTGAGATATATTAATACTTTTTAACAATATAAGGGTCAAAACATAATATTGAAAAAGTTTGAGTTTTTATTTTAAAATGATGATTGAAAAAGTATGTTTGATTTAAAATATGTCAATAGAAAAATTGCTGCGTATGTTCATGCACGGCCGATTGATTGGTTGAGTAAAACATTTCTTTTTTTTTCTAATGTACTGTTTTGATTATTTTATCGGCTGCTTACGTTGTGAGTATCAGATTGCTTTGTGTTCGTCAAGATCTTCACTGTATGAACAGTTGAAAACTTGAGCATTGAGCTGTATTTGTTAAGATGTTCCCAATATAGCGTTCTTCGAGACTGCACTTGCAGAGATGCATTCTATGGTTTCTCTTACTATTAGAATTAATTTGTTTATTGATTTTCATTTTAAATTTATCTTTAAAGGATTATGATGCTAAAATTTTAAATTTTTATTAATAAAAAATTCACAAAAATAATTAAGTTAATCATAATGAAGAACTTACTCAAGGAGACTTCCAAATTTTAGTCTTTAAGGAGACGGGATTTGTGAAGTGGTGACTTCTTCTTAGAGATATACAATACAATTATTTAGGTAACAAAATAAAAATCGATTAAAGATGTTTATAAATTTATAATATATATTACACCAATCAGTATTATAAATTTATTTTTTTTAATGTGTAAAACATAGAAGAATTGATGGGACAAGTATGAAAATGAAAACAAATAGATAGTTCAACTGAAAGAATCACAAAAAATAATAATAAGATAATAGGATAACATGCACAATGATAAATCATAAAAGCAAGGATAACAAAACCATTTAAAAAAAAAAAACAATTGTCCACTGCCCTTGCTAAGCTAAGAAAAAAAAAACAAGGTAAACAGGTAAAAGGCTCAATTTGCACGTGGTGGACCAAATAAAATATCCTTGAAGTAATATTGCAAACCCATTCTGGGCCGAAGGATCCATAAGCCAAGGTCCTGATTTTTTTGGGCTTAATAAAGAAAGAGGTTTTTCATGTAAAAGGGTTTTTTAACTCTTGACCAGAAAAGGGCTCGAGCGACTAGTTTTCTAGTTGAATTGCGTGGGTTGGATTTGGTTTCAATACATTCAATTCAAGAGTTAGGTATGTCAATTTTTTAGGGTACAATTATTTGTTAAATGAATAGGATTTAAAACTTGAAGCCCATGTATATAAAGTTCTGTGGTTAAAATATAACAAGTTATTAGTTGGGGGTATTGTTTAAATAATTTTAAACAACAGGCGATCAAAATGCAAATCATTCAATATGTTTTTTGTCCCCTAAGAGATTGCCCCCTTATAACTTGATTTACACTTTGGTTCCAAAATTTCAAAGTGGAATTCTTTAATCACTTAAGAAAAATTCATCTCACTTTAGTCCCTAAAGTATAAAGTCTATCCGAATTAAGTATAAAATCTATTACACTTTAACGATCAAAATATAGAAGAAGTAAAGAAGAGTTTATGCTTTAGGTTAGGGACTAAAATAGGACAAGTTTTACTTAAAGTGGAATAGATTTTATACTTTAGATATTAAAATGTTCAGGAATCAAAACGAGAATTTAGGTATATTTTAGTTTATACTTTAGTTTAAGTATTGCACTTTCTTCAATATATTAGTATTGAAGATTTAGTCATGGACATGCACAAGAAATTGAATGGATTTCAAAGTATTAACGCCAAGAAAACTTTGAATTTCGACCAAATCCGAGCTAAGAGTTAGCTTTGCGCAACCTTGGATAATTTGACAATAAATTGGCTTAGAGAAATCAAAATTGAGTGTTATTAACAGCATTTGACACTAGAAAATATATGCTTCCTATCAATACTAGAAAATCGAAGTTGACTGAAGATCCAACTCTGTACAGCAGTATTGAGAATATCCTGAATGCCGACTTTTTGGGCCAACATAGGCGAACTTATGGTTCGAAATAACAACATTGTGTTCTACAGATTATTATTGTTATTATTATTTTCAGTCTAATTTCGAGCGGCTCCATTTTTATAGTTTTTCGACTTGTATAGCTATAGTTTATTCAGGCGCTGCTAATGCTGGAAATCATAAACAGGCAGCCCTGTTTATGAGTTTGTTACTCAATGAGATGGTTATATTCTGAATCGATTCTTAGTCTGCAAGAGGTATCTTACAAATTGATTTGATTGTTATAGGTGAAGATTAAAGAAAGTTGAAGTGACTCCTTTAATATCTATGGTTTTAACTTTGGCGAATGAACTATATGCTCGTGAGAGAGAGAGAGAGTTACTTGCAGGATTCTTTGATATACAAGATTGAAGATCCCTTTCTACCAACAATTCGTCCCATTTTTTCAGCTGGGACGGTGAGCACTGACAATGTCTCCTGCTCTGGTGCATTTCCCTCACTGAAGAAGTCTGGTAGAGGAAAACACATAATCCTGTCCATCAAATCCATGATTCACACAGCGCCTAACCTCTAGCAATTAAGCACATGAAACAAGTCTCTCAACGCAGCTAGAAAATGAACTACACGACAGAGAAATGAGATATACATACCCATTCCTATATCTGAATGTCCTAAATGTAGTCCAAAGTTCTACATATGCTTGTCCCTCAGGTATTACTGCAAAGAGGTCTCGGGCTATTTTGTCATGAATGCAGGAATTGGGTTCCACACAAGCTTCAATATTTTCTTTTACAGTGCCTTTAATTTGTGATGAGAGAGAGTCAAGCCTTAAGTCGACAGTATACAAACAGGCTCTGTCTCATATCTTGCAATCAACTAGGCAGCTCTATTACGTGGTTGTTCTGAGCTACCAGATATTACACTTTTCAATTTAACATAGTTAACAGGTACATTGAGATTTAATTATCTGGCAACCCTTATGTCAATGTACTGCAAAGGAATTCTATGAAATCTTTCAAGGCATTGTGATTAGTGACACTGCAATAGATTTCATCACCAATAATGTGGAGTGTTGATGAGGCCAGGCTTCCAGTCTGACCCACAAAAGGAAAAGCAGAGGTAAATGATGAAGCTTGACTTAAATGTTGAGGTAGGAATTCTTTGCTCATGTTCTTTTTTCCACTACAAAGATAGCTCGGTCATGTTCTGTTGAAGATTTTTATCTTCACAAACTATTAGGAGAAAGCTGAAAGTTTAACAGAAAGACAAAGAAACGAATTTTACATATGGTATTAAAGAAGCTGGCACTCCAGGTTAAGACAGAATTGAATTCTGGGCTGCTTTACGATTCTTAAAAGAGAAGGGTAAAAAATTTGGACTAAAGAAACTGTATAAGCCATTGCTGTTTGGACCTGGAAACATGGCATAAAGTTGATTGTAGCCTTTTGCGTACCAAATAATTTTTTATATGGCACGCTCCTAAAACAAGCAATCTGCCCTTCTTTTTTCTGTTTTTTGAGAATTTCCCACATCTCACAACTTGATTAATGTAAATCCATTTAAATCAAAACCTGCTTTCTTTTGCCTGGAGTTGTTGCTCTTGTTTAAGAAGCTGAAGGACAAAACTGGAAGGAAAAATGGGACCATGGAATCGCGGGTCTCTTCTAAGATCAGTTAAAACGAGAATGAACAATTGGCAAATATTCGATTCAGTAAGCAGGAGGGTGAGGTTGGAGACTTGGAATCATCCTTTGCGTACAATCTGAATGTAGATATCTTGTAAATTTATTGGCAAGTTTTATGAGTGACGCATTCTCTTTAGTGGCCCAGAATCTCAATGAAATCAGGAAATCAAGTTTAAGAAAGAAAAAGAAACTAACAATCAAGAAAATGGCAGAAGATTGAGATAGGAATCTTACACCATCTTTTTTTTTCCCCTCTATAAAGGTAACTTGGCTATGTTGTGTTGAAAATATGCTAAAGGTGACTTGTTATCGTGAAATCCCCTACCCAGTTAAAGAACATACGATTGGAATCATCTTTTACGTACAAACTGAATATATAGATTTCTTCTAAAGTCATTGATTCCTTACCTACCGACAAGATATACGGTCTTTGCATTAGCCACTTCTGCTTTATAAAACAGATGCAGATATTAATCTGGCTTTGCAACTGCACTTGAAATATAAGAGCTCTTTTATTGAGAAGCAAAGCCCTCTTAGATTCAATGGCTGACACTATTATCTCTCTTGTTGTTGAGAGAACTGGTGATCTGCTGATTCAAAAAATTGTTTTCCTGAAAGATGTTCGAGGCCAAGTTGAGAGACTTCAAAATTATCTGGTCCGGATGCGGTGTTTCCTGAAAGATGCTGATCAGAGGCAAGATGAAGATGCGAGGATCCGCAACTGGGTTTCTGAAATCAGAGCTGCGGCCTACGATGCGGAGGATATCATTGAGATCTTTGCCAGCAAAATTGAAAGTATAAAAGATAAGGGATTTGTGACTAGATTGGCATACTATCCCTGGCGGATGGTGAGCCTCAACAAGATCGGTAAAGAGATTGAGTCCTTACAGACAAGGCTCGATGACATAGCTGCTAGCCGCGAAAAGTTTGGTATCAAAAATCTTGGGGAGGGAACGAGTACACATGGAGAAGAGCTACAACGGCTCCGGCGGTCCTCTCCTCTCAGCGAGGACAAGGATATTGTGGGCTTCGAGAAGATAACAAAATCCCTGGTGGCAGAACTTTTGAAAGCGGACAGAAACCGCCGCGTGGTTTCAATCATTGGCATGGGAGGTGCTGGTAAGACAACTCTAGCCAAAAAAGTTTATAACCATGCTGATGTTAGGGAGAGATTCAACTGTCGTGCTTGGGTATGTGTCTCTTCAAGCTACGATTACAAAAAGATGCTGAGGGCAATCATAAAGCAACTGAATCCAATAACTAATGAGCTACTTGACATGTTGGAAAAGATGGAAGAGGAAGACTTGGAACGAAGGCTCTATCAAGATCTACAAGACAAATGTTATCTTGTGGTGCTTGACGATGTATGGGAGGAAGCAGCGTGGGATTGTCTTGCCAGGAGGGCCTTTCCTGATGTTGGCACATCAAGTAGAGTGCTACTTACAAGTCGCAATCGGGATGTTGCCCAACACGCTGATGCTTATAGACACCCGTATGAGTTGAAAACTTTGGGGCAGGAAGACAGCTGGCATTTGTTCCTCAAAAAGGCCTTAGGCGACGGAGCTAATGCTGGGTGTCCTCCAGATTTGGAAGAAGTAGGCAGAGAGATCGCAAGGAGATGTGGCGGTCTACCACTGGCCATAACGGTTATAGGTGGCCTGCTACTAGGCAAGAATAAGTCGAAGACTGTATGGGAGGAAGTTCTCAACAACTTTAGCGCACACCTATCAAGGAGCCGGAGTGAAGCAGGGGCAATTCTGGAATTAAGTTATGCAGACCTTCCTGCCAATCTGAAATTTTGCTTTTTGTATTTGGGTTTGTTTCCCGAAGACTCCGTGATTTCTGTGCGCAAGTTGATCCATATGTGGGTTGCAGAGGGAATAATGCAGAAAAGAGATGCAGTAAATTTGGAGGAAGCTGCAGCATATGATGATGTGGAACGACTTTGTAGCAGAAATATGGTCCAAGTGGCGGAAATGACTGTTGATGAGAGGATTAAAAGCTGTAGAGTCCATGATTTGCTGCGAGACCTTGCAATCAGGAAGGCAGAGGATGAAAATTTTTTTCAGATCCATGACACTAGAGATGATCAAATATCAGCCAAATCCAGGTACCTTGCTGTTCATAGTCTCCCTCTGGATAAAAATTATTTAGGGTCTTCGCCCCCTCCTCTCCGGTCTCTACTTTTTTTCAATGTCCGGGAGGTTAGTCTTGGCTTCAGAAGTTTCAGAAAGCTTAGGATACTAGACCTTGAGGACGTTAAGATGGGTTATAATTTGCCAAAAGAAATTGATAAAGTCAGGCTCTTAAGGTACCTCGGTTTAAGAGACACATACATTGGAAAGCTCCCCCATTCCGTCGGTTGCTTGCGATACCTACAAACTCTTGACATGCGGAGAAGGTATGCAAATTGGAAAGTGAAAGTTCCAAATTTCATTTGGAAGCTTGAAAGTTTACGGCATCTATATGCGAAGGGTATGGAATGTGATGTGCCTCTTAAGATTGAAGGATTGAGAAATCTCCAGACTCTGTCAGGCATACGCTTTGATGACATTATGCACAATGACATGACAACTCTGACAAGTCTTCAGAAACTGGGGGTTTGGGTGGATGAATGGTCAGAGATAGACGAACTCTGCATGCATTTATCTGAGGTTGGAAGCCTAAAGAAGTTACATCTTTTTGCGGATGCAATTAGGCTACAGCCAATTCTAGCTGGACTTTCTAATCTCCATCGTGTAACAGAGCTTAAGCTATCTGGGAGGGGTTTGTTTATGCTGCCTCCTGATTTCCCTCCAAATCTCTCTCGCTTGTCTTTGAGTTCCACATGGCTCGAGGATGACCCAATGCCAGCACTAGAGAAGTTGGGACAGCTGTCGTTCCTCAAAATAAAGGATGATGCATTCAGGGGACCATGGCATATGGTCATTTCTAGGCATGGCTTTCACCAACTGAAATTCCTTGAGCTCAGCCGCCTACGTGATTTGCATGAAATAAAGGTGGAGAAAGGTGCATTGCCACAGCTCCAGTGCCTGAGAATCAGGGACTGCCCCAATTTAGAAAAGTTGCCGGAAGAGTTGAAGCACATCATGTCAATACAAGTAGTAATTAAACCAAAAAAAAAATTTCAAGTCTTCAACAGGCCTCAAAAATCCTAATAGTTTGGGATTTGGAAATGTCTATTCCATAAAAATATCTCGAGGTATTTGGTTGATTCTAATTTTTCCCATGCTGCCCAAACTGAAAAGGAGAATAAGGAAATAAAAGCCCCTATTTGTGTACCTGGAAGAAAAAAAAAATGAAGTTGCCAAACAAATCAAAGAATTCATCCCATATGAAGTGTTGGCCCATCTGAAATTGAGGATTGGTTGCTTCTTAACTACTACTCACTATACATATAAGATGTTAAAAAAAACAAATTAAATTGGTCAATTTTGAGTTTGTAATTGGATACCTTGCTAAACTTGGTCTTGAATCATGATTAGAAAAAAAAAAAAACTTATTTGCTTGCATCACAAATACAATTTTTATCACACTATTTTATTTTTCTAATTACTTTTTTTATCTTATATAAATCACATCATAAAAAATATTATAGTAATTATTTCAAATAATCTCCTGTACAAATACAAACGTGTGTACTCCTACCTTTATACTCTCATTTATTTATTCTCTCTACTAAGCGCCCCTGCTTCACCTTACCATTGCTTAAATTTCAGGGCAGAGATTAATAAAATTAGTTCCAGTTTTTATCAAAATATATAAATACAAGGAATCTTCCTGATTCAACATCCTTAGTTTGTCATTATTATAATCTTTATTTCGCCATATAATTCAGACCAACTGACAAGCTTTTTAAGTACTCCATTTTTTTTTTTTAAAGTTTGGGTAACTAACATTTACAACCACTGGGCCAATGGCTCAGTGGCCACCAGGGAGGGGCTTAAGTCACTCGATGAGGGTTCAAATCTCACCTGCAGCGAAAAAAATCTAAGGGTTGTGCCATAACACTCTCTTGGTCTAGTTGGATCTGTATACCCACTAGCCCCCTACCACAGCCTCTTTAGGCTCTAACCAAAAAAAAAAAAAAAAAAAAACTAACATTTACACCTATATCTTATAGGATTTGTGTCTCTATCAATTTACATTCTTGATAGCAAACTCTTGGGATTTGGAAATTTTTAAACTCTTGATTGATCATATATAATTTTTCCCATTCTGTCCGAACAGAAAAAGGGAATAAGGTAACAAAAGCCTCTGTTCAGGTACTAAAAGAGAAGAAAAGAACGAATTTAACAAATAAATCAATGATTGCTTCCTATATTATGTGAGAACTCGAGAAAATCATGTATGTGCTTTGCATTTATTTTATTTTATTTACCTTGAGATTAGAAATATTACATATAATGAATAAGTGGTTAAATTAAATGCCTAATTGATTTCTTATAAAAATTGAGAATTTAAAAATATCCTGATTTAATTAAGAATAACGGTGTAAAGGGAAGAGAGTGTGAGAGCTTGAAAATTTTATTCCTTATTTAAAATTTAATACATGTTCCATTTTCTTTTATTTATTACAATACATGTTTAAGGGGGGAAGTATGTGAAAGCCTAGAAAATTTTTGTGTAAACCATGCATGTATTATTTCCATTTTTGCCATTAGAATTATTATAATACCAATTCATAGATTAATTAAACGTTTAATTTTAAAACTTATAAAACAAACTGTACGAACCAAATAAAAACATGGTGTATATCGTAATTGGTATGAATTAAACATATTTTAGTGCTAAGCTACTTTTTTAGTTAATTTCTTAAAAATTTAATGTGTGAGAATTTATGAGATTAAGGAGATACAAAAGAAAATCAAGAATTTATAAATATTTTGGGGTGGTGTATATATATATAACAAAAGTTAGGGGTTCATGCTTGAGCCCAAGAAGTTTCAGGCCTTGGAGTGCAATTAAACTATAATTAAATGACCTAACTACCCTTCTTCCTAGCAAAACCTACCATGCGGCCAGCTAGTATCAGATTTAGAGATAAGAGTGAGTGGAGAAGCTTTGGAATTGTCGTCCACCGAGAGTGCGGAAGCTGTGAGTGATCACCGAGAGAAAGAAAATATTTCTGGTTTCTCCTGTCCAGCTTGCAACCGAGAAAGAGAGAAACGGAGTGTGAAGCTTTCTTACTTTTCCAACCTCAAAACCGTGAAAAAAAAAAAGGTGTGAGTGAGGGAGAGAAAACTTGTTAGATTCATTACTTATTAGATTCAATCGAGTGAGAATGAAGTAAATAGAAGGAAAAGAGGATCGGTGCTGTTTGAAGGAGCCGAAGGGAAAAAGCTAGTGCAGTCTGCAAATTCCAGATTCTAAGGAAAAAAAAAAAAGAGGTAAAACTCTGTAATAAACTCTTACTCAACTAATATGTACGATACTTAAGCTGCATGTTAAAATTTAGTAAGGAAAATGAGTTCTTAACCAAGGAAATTTCTGCATAGAAGATGAATAAATTATTGCACAGAAAATTGAAGGAACCGAGAGCTGTTTGCTTGAGTTGTAGCCTGTTATCAGTATTAAATGGAAAATATTGTAAGAAATGCATGCAATATGTGTACCTTAGGTTCTTATAAGAGGTTTAGCTGTAGAACTTGTGAAAGGTTGGAACTTTAAGCTGAAACTATTGAAAGAAACCGCTGGAATTTTTTTTAGCTTCATCCGAGTAGGGGAAATGAAGAAGTTCCAGCTGTCCTTATGAATTTTGGTCCTGAAATTTTATATTAAGCTGTAATATATTGTATAATACATTGGTCTTAACATGCATGCAAGATTTAAGTCTAAAATGAGGAGGTTACTGGGGAATTTTCTTGTCTTAAAGGCTGATTGCTGCTAGAACTCATTCGACATGGTCGAGAGAGGAAGTAGAGTTTGGTTCAGCTTTTCTCTTCAAATTCTTGGCAGTAAATTTCATATTGCTGCTTAAAAACTCTGTAGTTTGATAATTACTCTCTGCATGTTAAGATGGGGGTGAGGAAAATGAAGAAATTGAGGGAACCAGTCTTGTACTTAACTGCCGAACTGCTGGAAGTTGCATTTAGCTGAGGATAGAATTAATTGTTACTTTTGTTGGGATTATTTGCTCAAATTACATGTTATTTGTTTTAGTTTACATAGGACAGAGTCTATACTGAGTGTTGAGTGTTTTAACCCAGTAAAATATGGAACTTTGCTGAAAACCTTGAGGTAATGTTGCTGGAAATCTGTTTGTCGGCTGAGAGAGGGAGGAGATGAAGCTCTTATGATATTTCGAAAAAATTCCATGATGATTGGTTGTAATCTTGTATAAAACATTTTATAACATCTTGACCCTATCATTCACGTCCATTTTAGTGAATTTGAGACCTGAAAAGCAGATGAAATCTGAGAGAACTTAAACAACAAAGTTGATTGGAAATTGATTTGGCCGAGAGAGAAGAAATGAAAAGTTTTTCCAGTTCTACTCTTTAAGTGGGATTGAAAATGATTTAATCTTAGTCTAACTATTTCACAAGACTTTAAATTCGGTGTATTTGTATATATTCATCATTCTTAGTTAATAAACTTAACAAATCTTGAAGAGAAATGTGAGAAAGTATATTAGTTTAAACATTATACAAGTTTATAAACTTGGAATGAATGTATATTTCTTTGGTTTTTGTTGAAATTTGATGCTTAAATCATGTTAAAATTGCTGGTATGAATGTCATACTTAAATGTATGGATGGTTTGAATAAAATTCTTATGGTTCTAAAAGAGAAAAAGGAGTTTTTCACAAGTGAGAAATGAGTTTCCAGATTTTCGGATCCCACTGACCAGTCTCACTAAAATGCTTATATCTTGGTGTAGGAAAATCCGATTGAGGTGTCGTCAGTGGCATTTGAAACTAGAATCATGGCCCTTTGTTTTGTAGAAATTTCATATTTTTCCTCCATGTGTACTACTGTCCGTGACTCCTCAAAGTAGGCTGTCCTGCTCGAATGTCCTGTTTCTTCAGGAAACTGAATTTTTGACTTGGATCGAATATTTGGCCTATTTGTGATTTGAATCTCTGAAAAGTGTCTTCTGGGATGTGATAGTACTAAAAATCTATTTTACAACAGTATAACTTTCATAATTGTTTGATTTGTGGAACTCGAGTTGCGAATTTTTAAACTTTACTGCTACTATTCATCTGCATAGGTTCCTGAAGCATAGAAACGGGTTTCTTGACTTTAAAACCTCAAATGGCTTACTTCCAACCTCTCACCTTGATTTTTCCACTTCCTTGACATCAAATATATCCCTATTGAATTTCTCTCGCTAATGTATCTCTCATTTCTTCAAAGTTTTACTCTTTTAACAAGTTACCTTAATTAAAGCGGTCAAGACTTGTACTTAGCTTTTAGCCACCATTTCTGAATTTCAAGTGAAGCTTACATGCTAAAATTGTCTTGTGTGTGAATGACATTGAGCCTAGTGAAAGGCTATTGTGGTAATCTGAGTTTAGATGTGTATCTAGCTATCTAAAATCTGAATTTCTAGAATTATTTAAGAGTTAAGTTAGCCGTGACTTTCCTCTTTATTTCGAGTTGAATTGTGGTTGGAAGTGATTGTTTGTTGTCAAGAGCTAATGATTGATGAAACTCTTGGCCATTTGAGTAATTTTTTACAAGGGTTAAATTCTTGGTGGAATGGTTTAAGTGGTTTGGCCATAATGCACTTGGAAGGTCCATGATTTGTGATTTGGAACTGTTTTAATACTTTGGAATTCCTTTGGTTGATGTTGATTAGAATTGAATCTGCTGAGACCCAGGGCTAATGATTGATGAAGTCCTAGTGAGATTGATATTTGAATTATGATTTTTTTTATATTGGCAACTGGAATGTAATGTGCAAATGAAGTGGGAATCGTAGAGTCCGTTTTGGTCCTTTGAATTCGAGCACCTTGATAACCAAGCTTTGTTGAAATATTTTGTCTTAATATCAAGTTATAGAAATTGAGTATAGTACGATAAAGCTAAAATTCAAGTGTCGGGACTTTTAAAACCTTGCCAACTAGTTGAATCTTTTCTTTGTTTAAACTAGTTTTATTACTTTTAGGAAGTAGTTGCATTAACTTCCAAATTTTAAGTTTTTCATAAAATTATCCTTAGCTAGTTGTTTTGGAGGAAATTTGTTAAAAACACTAGATTTGAATAATTTCAAATAAAAGACATAGAAAACTTGTTTGGCAAGAAAACTCGTTTGAGTTAATTTAGTTCTAGTTTGCCCTCTAGAAAGAAAATACTTTTAAAGAAACCCTACGAAATACTTTATTCCTTTACTAGCCTTAATTCTAAGAGATTTATTGATTCGCTTCGAGAAATTAAATTAGTTCTATACAAGATAATCTTTTATATATAAAGCAAGAGTTGTTTAGTAAAACTTATAGTTTTTAAAACATGGATTTCTAGGGTTTAGCGAGGACGTGGACTTCGATTTCCAGCTTGACTTTTGAGCTTCACTCTTGGTGAGTGTCCCTGCTTGTTCTATGCTTACTTGATTAAAGCGCTTTCTTGACTTGATATGTGATATTTGGAAAAATGGATTTCTGATCCATCGAAGTGAGCAGTGTGTACTTTATCACACTAGCCATTCGAGTGGTGACTTGTGTGAAATATTTTCGTGAATACCTCAAGTGTTGTGACGTCGTTGGGTGAATCCCTCGACTAGTTTATCAGTGTTGTGACGTCGTTGGGTGAATCCCTCGACTAGTTCATCAGTGTTGTGACGTCGTTGGGTGAATCCCTCGACTAGTTTATAAAGGGGTATACTCGAGTATCACCACCTTCGTGCTTGGTGTGCGGGTCCGGGACAGGGGTATGATTGAAGGGTAGGGTTAAGGAGAAAAATAAAAAGATCTACATGGACTGTACGTAGTGAGAGTTGACGGAGGGTCAACTACGGTAACTTCTGATCAAGCGCGGAGAATGGCTCCTGAGAGCCCTGTATCCTACCTTGTGCTGTTATACGCTTTCCTATTTGTTGAATTTAATACTCGTTACTTGCCTTGTGTGATTGCATGTTTTGGGGCACCACTGAGCGTTAGCTCACCCCACGTTTATTTGTTTTCCTTGACAGGTCGTGACGATTAAGAAATCTGAGCTACTTATATTTTCTTATGAATGTATTTGAACCTCGTGATTTCCGCTTTGTGGGTTGTAATGTGTCTTAGTCTCAAATAATGTACTTTTTATTTTGGATTGCCACTTGAAGTTGGAAAAGTGTAAACCCTAATTCCGATATCTGGTTTGTATGTATATATTTGCATGGTATGAATTTACATGTATTTAGGATTGTATGACTTTACTCCTTGTAAATACGCGTGAGGTGTTTGAAAGCTGTCGTTTGGTTATCTTCAAATGCTGTTATCTCTGAAGTTAATGTGATTTTGGTTAGCAGCCTATTTGGAGGAAAACGATGTTGTAATAGTTTAGATTGTGATTCGGAAGGATTAGGCTAGATTTCTTGCGTGAGTCCTGGCGAGAGTTGGGCAGGCGACCCCGCCAACCCTCTGGTTTGCCTTAGGGATAAGTGGGGCCGTCACATATTAGGCTCTAACCAAAAAAAAAAAAAAAAAAAACTAACATTTACACCTATATCTTATAGGATTGGTGTCTCTATCAATTTACATTCTTGATAGCAAACTCTTGGGATTTGGAAATTTTTAAACTCTTGATTGATCATATATAATTTTTCCCATTCTGTCCGAACAGAAAAAGGGAATAAGGTAACAAAAGCCTCTGTTCAGGTACTAAAAGAGAAGAAAAGAACGAATTTAACAAATAAATCAATGATTGCTTCCTATATCTACTCACTATACAGAAGAAGTAAAAGAAAGAAAACAAATTTAAACATGCGAAAAGCAAATAACAAGCTGTTCAACGAAGTTATTTGGGATAATAAATGTTCAAGGGTAAAAAATTAGTGAAGGGAAGATTTCTGAATACGGGCACAAGTGCAGTCTATTTATTATGAAAGGCATTTGTAATTTTTTTACAAATTGATCAATTTTGAGTTTGTAAATGGATACCTTACTAAACTTGGTCTTGAGCCATGATTTGACCAAAAAAATTATTTACTTGCATCACAAATACAATTTCTATCACATCTTTTCATTTTCTTAATCATCTTTTTATCTTACATATATCATATCATAAAAAGTACTATACTAATTATTTCAAATAATCTCCTGTACAAATCTGTGTACTTTTACCTTTATACTCTCATTTATTTATTCTCTCTACTGAGCGGCCCTGCTTCACCTTATATTGTACCATTGTTTAAATTTCAGTGCAGTGATTAATTAAATTAGATCCAGTTTTTATCAAGGGTAACTAACATTGCCTACACCTATACCTTATAGGATGGTAAACTCTTGGGATTTGGAAATTTTTAAACTCTTGATTGATCATAATTTTTCCCATTCTGTCCGAACAGAAAAAGCGAGTAAAGAAACAAAAGCCTCTGTTCAGGTGCTAAAAGAGAAGAAAAGAACGAATTTAACAAATAAATCAATGAATTCATCCCATATAAAGTGTTGGTCCATCTGAAATTGAGGATTGATTGCTTTCTATATCTACTCACTACACACAAGAAGTAAAAGAAAGAAAACAAATTTAAACATGCGAAAAGCAAATTACAAGGTGTTCATCGAAGTTATTTGGGATAATAAATGTTCAAGGGGAAAAAATTAGTGAAGGGAAGATTTTTGAATACGGGCACAAGTGCAGTCTTTTTATTACGAAAGGCATTTATAATAATTCTTATACACCAATTTTTTTTTTCTTGTGTTCGTAGTAATTTTTTTACAAAAACCTATACAAATGTCATATATAATAGATAGTCCACTGTCTATAAGTTTGTCATTTTTAATTTTTTGTGATTACATAACATGTACTGCCTTGAAGGAAATGTATACGAGTTTGGCACTGTGACGGCCACACTTCTCCCTAAGGCGAACCAAAGGGTATCCGCGGGACGCCTGCCCAACTCTCGCCAGGACTCACTACAATCCATCATTCAAAAGCTCGAAATACTTTAAGTAACCTCAATACATAATTAAAGTACTTCAAATATCTCACACTTATAATTATGCAGCTTTCAAGCTTAAATACAATCCAACGGAAAAGGGTACAATAGCCATCCGTTATAATATAACTTAAAGTCTCCAAAAGAAAACAATCTAGTACTACTCACGAGCACCCTTGGTCTCGAACCCTGTAAAAGAAAACCACAACGTGGGATGAGCTACACAGCCTAGTGAGGTTCCAAGACACTCTAACAGTTCAAATAAATCAAGTAAGTTGGGTATATCATATGCATGGTTTAAGGTTGCACAATGGCATGTTATCATGAGGTGATAATCATTGTACGAGTAATTTGAGACATTTATCATGGTATGAGACATTTATCATGAGACAGGTATCATGGTATGAGTACATTGGTCAGGTAACAGGTATGGAGCATATCACAGGCATAGCTCAGGATTTCATGTTGGCATTTTAGCATGAAACAATTATCATGATACAAGGTAAGCATATACGGTAGGATACGGTGTTCTAGTGGAACTCTGTCGGTCATCTGCACCTTATGACTTCCGGATCCCCTCGGTTTGACTGGCCATCACCTTATCCCTCCAGTGGTAATACTCGAGTATACCGAAACGGTGGTCCAGGGTTCCAACCTACCCGACCGAGCCCAGTCCTGGCTCGAGTAGGTCAGTAACCAAGGGCAGGGTCCAAGTTCAGCTTAGAGCTTACAACATGCACAGGTAACCAAGTAATTCGACCAAAGGTAAAATTCATCATTTGAGTAGGTCGAGTGAGGTAAAGTACACACTCGCCTAACAATGGTGGACAGCTTCATATAACATGTGATTCATGATAATCAAGTAATCAAGTGGATACTTAGCACGTAAGCACGTAAGCAATACAAGTTGATTTCATGGGATCATGTAATTCACGGATATCAAATAGTCATGTAGATTGGAAATCATATGAGCAAATAGTCAAGTAATCAGGTAGTCATGTGGGTTGGTAAACGGTTTACGATTAACGGTTAACGGTTGACGGTTAACGGTTGAGTAGTGACGGTTAATTGACAGGCATTTGTCACATGAATAGGCCATCATTGGCCGTTATCCCATTTTTACCATGTGAGAGTCGAGGAGATTCACTCCAACGATGTATGCAACCATAGCATACCAAGTCATGTTATTCGAGCATTTCCAAGCATGAGTTATTCATCTCAAAAGAGAACGAGTGCGATAAAGAACGCACTCGACTCCATTTTTCAAAACCGAGTAGGCTAAGTAAGCAATCTAGCAAGTTAAGCATGTATCGAGTTCATATGGTCATTTGATATGGTTAATCATTTAACCAATTCATGTAGATATTCAATGCAAGTATACATTCCTTAAATAGGCATGAGTATGGTAAATACTTAACACATAGCACTTAACACTTAATAATCATGAAATAAGTATGTCCTAGACTTATTCAATTACGTATTCCTATATGGAACACTCACCTAGTCAAAACAAGCGAGTAGTTCTCAAACAAGCGTTTTAGGTGTCCGCTCCGAGTTCCTCTTGGAGGTCCCCTTGAGCGCCTGAACAAATAACCATTAACTATTATACACTATCACTTAGAACCCCTACTTATCAAAGAAGGTTGTACAATCTAAGGAAAATTCATGAATTGGGACTTAATTATTAATAATCAAGGCTCAAGAGTAAAGTTTTAAAGTCTAAAGAGAGAGACTAATATTTTCCATGAAATCGAGTTCAAAATGTTCAATCGGTATCGAGAAAAGAAGGCAAGTTTCCAAAATCTCATTTTCTAAGAAATTGACAAATTTCAGCTTTGGGTGTCAATTTTAGAAAAATCGTATCTTGCACTATGTAGGTCCAAAATTGGAAAACTTGATACCGTTGGAAACTTCTTCAAAAGCACTAAAAGTTCCTAGAAGATACTTTTCCATGATTCTAAACGGAAGGTATTCAAAAATTGACTCAAGGTTGCTGCGTTGGACCATTAAGACAGTTTCGGGGTTGGTTTTCGACCAACTTTGAAAATCCGGCAAAATTCACACAATACGAACTAGCCTCCGAAATTTAGAACTCAATTAGAGTTACAATCAAAGTTTAAAACGAAATAAATGGAACAAGAATCGAAGTTTTGAGCGCCAAGATATAGTAGCTCAAAGTTGGTAACTTGCATTACCAAGACAAATTTAAGTTGGTTTTTGGCCAACTTTGGAAATTCGGAAAAATTCATTTGTTTTGAACTAACCTTTGAAATTTGGAAATCAATTAGTGTTGCAATCCAAGAGTATAACAAAACAAGCGGAATGAGAAACAGAGTTTCGAGCACCAAGATATGGTAATTCAAAATTAGTGAAAATGTGAAACTGTTACGTAAATTCCAGGTTTAATTCACAACTTTGGGACTTTGATTGAACATCGAAATGGACTCGGAATGGCACCAAATTTGGTAGTATTATCCTACCATATAAGGGATATTTCTCTACCAAATTTCGTAGGAAAATTCATTCGTAAAGTTGGTTAACGAAATCACTAAAGTCTCAAGAAGTTCCTCGGCAAATCTGCCTTGGACTTCCGTTTTTCCATTTTCAAAATGTTTGGCAAATAAAACACCTCAAACACGGTTCATTTCAGTAGATAATGTCTAAGGTACATTTGATAGGTGATTTATACCAAGAAGCTTCAGAAAACAAGTCCCAAATCATTGTTAGTTACAAATCTGTCCAAGTGGAAAATTTTATCACTGTTGCAGTTTCAAACATTGGCCACAACTCACTCAATTCAACTTGGAATTGGGCGTGGTTAATGGCGTTGGAAAGCTCTCTCATAAAGCTGAATTTTATCAGAAGAAACCATTTTCAAATTCTATCCACAAACAGCTCGTTTTTGAGCATCAAGATACAAGTCCTGTCCTGTCTCCTGGAGAGAAACGAAACAGGACAGTGATTTTCAATCGAATGGTGTGGCTCACTCAAGTGGAACCAGAACGTGAAATTGGTACCAATGGAAAGCTGGGAATGTCTAGTTTCCAATTCCGCAAACGGCACTTGATTTCGACATTGGAGTAAAGAGTTATGGCCAATACAAAATGACTGCCTGGGCAATACGGGATTCATTTTCTAGTTTGGCTAACTTTGGAAATCAATTCATTTGACCAACCAAATCATGTTATTTTTCAATGAAATTTTGTACACACTCACAATAACATGTAAACAACATAATCAAGTCATTAGAACCTCAAAATTTTGCACAAAAATGGTCGGACAAGGCAGGGGTAAAACGATCACTTTTGCTCCAACCACCTCCTTTGATTTTCTACCAACAATACAACATTAATCTACTAATATAAGCACTAAACCAACATTAAATCC